CTCTTTCTGTTGAATCTATTCAAGAACCACACACACAATGGCAGCAAGAAACGCAGACTCTATGACCAACGCCCAGGGCGAATTCATGCCTCATAAGCCCCGCGATGAACCCATGGAGAAGCATGGTGTAAGTATCTCTTGACATACCTGGGACCTGAACCACTCCCCAGCAACCCTTCTCAGACCACTGACATGTTTTTTTTTTTTTTTTTCTGGTTTCCAGCACCAAGTAGGTCAAAAGGTCTCGCCAGCGGACCACGCCCCCGAATTCTCAGCCAAAACCCTACCACCAGGCACGGCTCCCGCAAACGCGACATTCCAACCCAACCCGACGGGCGAAGTGCCCGGACAAGCCTTCAACGACAACGTCGACCGCTCCCACGGCAAGGAAGGCGTGCGTACCGACCCCCTGAGCACCTTGTCCGGCGCCACCTCCGCAGATGTGCACCAAGGTCTCGGTCACCCGGGCCAGGGCCAGACGTCGACAGAGCTCCGGCACGAAGGACACCATACGGCCAGTAAAGCGACTTCGGGCCCCGAGGGCGCCGGCGCAACGGGCGGCTCGGGCCTCCGCGACCCCAGCGACGTGAACAGCGAGTTCCGCCGCCTCCAGCAGGAAGGCGAACACCCTCGCGGACCCGTATCAGGACACAACGTGAGCATGACAGGCGCCGAGGCAAAGGAACCCGTGTCTGCAGAGTTCGTCGCCGCGGAGGGTGGCAAGGCCGGAGAACATGCGGGATACTCCAAGGCCAAGGGCACGACGGGAGTGCCTGACAGGGGCGCTGGGAATCCTCGCGAGTAAAAATGAAAAGCAAAGACATGCTATGATTTTTGGTCGATGGGGAGGCTGTCCACCCAGCATGGGATAGGTTTCGGTCACGCATGAAATATTGTTATCGCTGTCCATACACAGGACAGGACAACACGGGGCAGGGTCATCACACATTCGAGTTGATATGAAGAGAGAATACGCCACCAATATCGACCAAATAGCATCGGAGAAGTTGGGGACACCACAAACCCTCCCTCTGAATAGAGATGACCACTAGGCCGTATCTCATCAAGTCGCATCACATCCCATCCCATCTTGTCAGGCGACAAAACGGCAAACCTCAAAAAGGGGGAGGACTAGCGTTGACACCGGCCCCTCCCCCCGGGTCGCTCAACCTTTTGTAGAAACGCATCGGATATCACATATCAGATAATCCCGTCCATAGATCACACCTGAAAATAAAAGTTACAAAAATCTATCGGACAATTCCATGCTCGAAACATCTCATTCTTAAACGTAAAATGCCCACAAAAACTAGATCAGAACAACAAAGAAAACGAGTCAATCAAGAGGTCGGGAAACAGTCTAGCACTCCTTAGCCACAGACAGAGTGATGAAGCCGAAACGCTTGAGAAACATGTCCCAGGACCACCGTGTTTGTCCTATTGATCATATATACATACACACAGGTTCATGATTATCAATCCAATCTACGGAACAACGCACATTCGACATGGAGTGATATCACCCAGACCATCGCAATGACGAAATTGTGTCCTCAGTTGTGTCCGTGGCTAATCAATCACCAGCCTCTCGTCCACACCTTCTCGCCCTTCTGTCACTTTGACGACTCCATTCACCGTCCCATTTGCGTGCAAATCCCCATTCGCACCTCTTGCCACGGTGCTCCCTTGCACCACCTGAACTCCGCCCATCTGCTTGGTTCTGTCCTCGTAGCTATCGACCTCAACTCCTTGAATCAAGGCTTGGCTCACTCCCTCCAAGCCCGCCACAAACACACAAAGCAGACTGCCAATCACAAAATGACTAATCGTGGTGCCGATGTCTAGCCAGCTCCCCTCGTCCTTGACCATCCAGAAAAAGTTGAGGGTCATGACATCGCTAATGCTCATCACCGTCATAAACAGCGCCGAACTCTGTAGCCCGAGTCTGCGATTGAGAATTCCCAGTGCCGCCGAGATAATGGCAAAGGGGACCATCAACTTGAAGAGTAGGAGAGCACCCTGCGAAAAGGGGTCAAAGATCGGGATGAGGCGGTATACGGCATCCAGACTGAAGCTGGAAACCGAGGCGATGTTACCGGTGGAGAAGAAGGCGGATTGGAGAAAGAAGAGGAAGAAAAGGGCACGACGGAGGTCCGTGAGTGCAAGCGTGCGGAAGGTCTGGTCGGGATGGAGGTTCTCGGATTTCTGGGATTTGGAGGTTATCGTGATGCCATTCGCGGAGGGCATGGAGTCCAAGGAAGCGTCTCGTGGTTGTGGTGGCCCATGGAGCTGGATGGCGTGCTCGAGACGCACCCACGTAAGTAGCGTGGCGCAGAAGGCAAAGTAGAAGAGGCCCTCATACGATATGGTAAGAAGGACAAACGACGGCGCGAATGTTAGGAAGATAATGACGAGACGATGAAGGTAGTGTTTGTTGGGTGCTATCCGGTGCACGAAAGGGAGGATAACAGAGGCAATCAGAACGAGCCAACCGATGACTTGGTTTCCGAGAGGCAGCCCTTTCTTTGCCTGAAGTGAGGCGACACTTGAGCGCGTGACGATGATTGTCAGCCCAATAATACCGATCTGAAGACCCATGAGAACTCGAGATAGCAAATTGGGTTCTGCTTCCTGAACTCGCGATTTCGACTGCTTGGTGATATCGTGCTCAAAAGCAAGATAGAGAACGCCGGCCCCAAACATAAGTGAGCCTCCTGCAGTAATCATGTTGGAACTTTCAACCTTGACCACTGGGAGAAGTGTAAAGGTGCTCAGAACCAGGCAGCCCGCTGCCCATGCCAGCACGATTAATTTGTTTGTCTTGATGAAATCCACACCATATGCGGCCGGAAAGACCGCTGCAACAAGGTAACACACGGTGAAGATAATGCGATGAAAGTATGATTGCACCTGTAAGGGTCAGCGATCAGATTCATGATAGAGTTGATTCCTGTCACAAACCAGAGCTTCAATAACGAACAAATACAGCAACACCTGGATGAGAAGAGAGATAGATCGAGAAAAGCTGCGAACATGGCCGAAAAGGACACCGACACCGGAAAAGAGAGCCTTTCTCCTGGCAAACACTTCCTCCCAGAAGAAGACTGGGAAGAAGGCATAGGCGTAATATGTTACAGGCGACTTTTCAATGACGAAGAATGAATACAACACAACCAGGAGAGACGAGAACACCATGGTCGTGCCAACCGTCCTCTCATCTTGTACCGCACCATGAAGGACATGGAGGTCAATGACGGTCGTGATTGCATAGGTAATCCAGCCGAGATATCCAATGGTAATAAGTGCTCGAAGAAAAAGCCAATCATAGGTTTGCAAGTACCGAAGGCCCTGGAGGGCGTGGTCGAAGAGTTCCGAAGATAACTGGATGGCTACCTCATGCTGGTTACTGTCGATTGCCGATTCGATGGCGGCAATTCGATCAGCAACAGAGGCGTTGGCTTGCGAAAAAGGGGGAAACGGTTGAAAATTAAGTGAGGTGGCCTTCTTCTGTTCCTCCTTGACTCTGTACATCTCAAGGACTTGCTTGGTGTTCACAAGCGATGCACCAGCTTTCTCCTGCGTCGATGCAGCAAGATACGACAAGGGCAGCTTGCCGACAGAGTTGACTGGAAACTCCAATCCCGCCAGGTACGCCATGAGCGCAGCAACATCGGCTTGGTCAACATCGTGGCGTTGCACATGGTCAAGACCCCAGTCGGAGGAGAGGCTGTCATGGCCGGGAGCGTTTTGATCTGGGAAAAGCTGGGGACGGGCCACGCCGGCACCCCATACGATCAAAGGGGTTCTTGTATTGTCGGGATGGCCGTCTCCATGACTCCCCCAGTCGCTCATCCCGTGGTCCGCCGTGAAGACGTACGAGGTTTCCCCATCGGCGTAGAATTCCTCAATCAAATTCGTAATGGCCTCAACACCCTGGTCGACAATCTTGATGTTGTGAAGGTATTCTTTGGAGTATGGCCTGTAGGAGTGGCCGGTCGTATCCAGGCCAAGCAGATGCAAGAACAAAACAAGTTTGTCCTCTCGAAGCATCGCATCAAGAGTGGCATTTGTGCTGGCAGATTTGAAAAGATCTTTAACCTTGTCGAACACCCAAGTATCCAGTGCTGTGGCATCTTGCGAGTAGTCCTCGAATTCTGCAGCATAGTGATCGGCATCAACCCGTCCTGGTACTGCCCCTTCTTTAAACATCGGAAGAATATCCGGACTGCCCCAACTCCATGTGTGCCGACTTCGATTGAAAACGCTGTCGAAATCAACAGGGTTCAGCTTCCACCCAGTCGTTACCGCAGAAACGTCTTCGTAGAGACCGGCTATGAGTGCGACGTGACCAGGCCGCGACTCCGTAGGGACCCTTGTATGGGAGACGCCGAAGGTACCGTGCTCAAGTACTCGAGATCGCAGAAAAGGGGCAAGAGGTCGCGGTGTAGGGTCGAAATTGTCTGGATCGGGAGGAGAAGGGTCTGGAAAGGATTGAAAGGCCTTGTCAGCGCGCAAACCATCTCCAACAAACAAGATGAGCCGTCTTGACGGAGCATGATCTTGCTGCAGAGGAATTGATCTCATGCCATGGACGATCGGGCTAACAAAGTAAATGTCGAAGATGGAGTAGAGATAGACCAGATGGAAGACGATGGCGACAGCCAGAAAGCCTCCGCGGCCGATCCTGGCCATGTTGGGCGTGGAACTAAGGAAAAGAGCGACTTGGGTGAGACGGTACCGATACCATCATAAATCAGCATAAAGTACAATCGTGATTCTTTCGCGTCGACGTCCTCGCATCTCTCAATCCCTCTATTAGGGAGAATGAGGACAAAATATCACAAGAGGCAAGTGCGCCGAGTCTCAACGCCACAACGACACATGGGGCCTCAGAGCCTCGTGGGTGGGCGCCGCGAATGGTTGGTAGTACCTCGTCCTCGGTACAAAGAACACAAGGGGGCTACACAAGGGGGCCAGATGGCGTCTTGATACAAGTCTATCTAATCATCTTCAATCAGGTAGTTGAGCCAGAACTTCAGGCCCTCTACACCTTCTTCTCGACAGAGAGCACCTCTCTCCTCTGCCATCTCGAGTTCTTCGGCTGCAACACCCAGGCTCCAGCCAAACTGTACCGCTGCCTGTTGTGCTGTTACTCCAACGCCATACGCCGACCTGTCCCATGCCTCTGAAGTAGCAGCCGTTGGGATTTTTAGTGACGTGAGCCACCCTTTGATCTGGCCAACCGTTTTCTCGTCACTTGCATTCCGCTGTTGCACCACCAAGAGTCCACTCTTGAAGCGTCGTAGCTTGATAGGCAGGCCCAACTTTTCCCATGCTTCGGCCGCTTTGTGGAAATCAGAGGGGCTGACTAGTTCCACCCCATTCTGACTTCTGTTGAACGTTGCCCATAAGTCAACCAGACTCATTGTGCCGCCTTGACGTCGCAATATTCCCCGTTGGTCGTCCGTAGCATATTCGGCCAAGTTTCTTGCCAGTTCGGAGATGTAGAGTGCAGAAGAATTGTCCCCGATCATATCTCTTGTTGCCAACATGCCGAGTGCCGCCGCTGACTGGGAGACGAGAGGGTCGGACGAGACTCCGGGGACACCTGTTTGTGACCCTGACTCAACAGCAAACCGCTCTGCCAGCGCAACCACATCTTTCGCTGATGCCATCAGAGCCTCCAGATCTTCAAAAGCATTGCCCAGCACCGCTTCGTTGATCTTGCGGGTCTGGAGTCCGCGCTGCTCAAGGCCGGCAATACCAACAGCCACAGCTCGTGATTCAGATGACGGCACAAGGGCGGGATTTCCAAGTGGTGTCGGGGAACGGTCAAGATCAGGGCGTGGAAGGGGTGGCGCATCTTGTAGCAGCCACTTTCTCTGTATCATTGCGTTTTTAAGTCGCTCATAGAATACACGATCACCTCCATTTCGAAAAGAAAACTTCACACTTGGGGTGTCATGCTCTTCCTCCAACGAAAGTCCCGAGATTTCAGGTCCTGGTGATTCAGACCGACTCACCGAATCTTCAAGTGCCTTTCTCTGGATGGAGTCTGGTACTGGGAGGGGTGCAGAGCATAGTTCGCAGATGCGCATCCAGGGATGATTGTGAAATGTACACCGGGGACAGGTGATGTTCTCTGATGAGACCTCATCCCCATAGGACTGGGTGTGGGAATCAGGTGTGAGATTGATTGACTCGGGTCTGGGTGCTGGAAGGCGCTTTGCATTCGCTGTAACAGCTGCTTTGAGTACAAGAGGAAAGGGCGGCTTGATCCCGCAAGCCAGGCAAGGCGGTATTGGAAACGATTCCGTTGCGATTGTAGGATCAAAGTTAGACGGCACTGGGTTGGAGAAAGAGCAGATCGGGCATACCCAGGTGCCGATGACGAGTGGTGTCGGGGTAGACGATATTGCGGAGGGACGAAACGGACTGGAAGCGCGTGTTGATGGAGTTGAAGAGGACGCAACCCTCTGGAAACTCGGGGACTGTGACGACCCGGCTTTGCCTATGGTGCCAAACCTTCGTTTCGGCGGCTTTGGAAACAATGTGACCTTTGGGGAGGATTTGAGGAATCCAGCCTTGTTTGAAACAATCCCTTAGCACTTCTTACGTATGGGACAACGGGTCTTATTACCTGGGACTCGTGTTTCTCCACATCTTTGAGATCAACAGCCCATGAATTGGCCCGTGGATCTGCATCGTCGACATAACAAGCGCGGTGAGAGGTCAGATATGCATGACCTTTCTGGCAAGACTTGATCTTGTATTTTCTAGTTAAGGTCAGCCTATAGATTGTAATATTTCGGAAGTGCCAGAGCCAGTCTCACCCTTCATACAGCCCAACCCCGTCCTGTACAAATAGAAGGACCTCATCTGGGGACAGGGTCGGGCGCGAGCCAGCGGTCAGATCTGGCTTTTTGAGGAACATCCGGCAGTCTATGCAAACTGGAGTTCATTTTCGAAAGTAAAGACGTCTTTGAAGATGTCTGTCGCTATAAGTCTGGCGTCTGCAACATCTTCCCATTGTGTAATGAAGAGATCAAGAAGGATGACAAAGATAGATATTGAAGGGGGAGTTTTCGCTAACCCATATCTAGTTAGTCACTGTGCCAAGAGACGGTCCTCCTGCGACCATCACGTTGAACGACAACTTCAGGGCTTTCCCTCCCTTTCCTCTCACCGTCTCCTGTTCCTTTACCAAAGCGCCGGCCTCAGCGATTCTCGTCCTGCTCTTGTACCGCCTCGCTCTCTGAGATACTTCTCTTCACTTTCTGCTAAACCTTGCCTCGTATAGCCTTGTACTCCTGGACTCGCTGCCATGTATTCATCTCCTGCTGGCCACCCTCCGTGGCAGACTTCATACCCGTCGCTGAACCACCAGAATCATGCTTACATACCAGTTCCCGCACGAAATGCCTTTGGCTCCCAGTCGCATCTTCCTCCGCCACCCACCTATACTCCCACTCCATTGCCACCTCAACAATATATGCCCTCACCTCCAACAAACACTGTGTCAAACACTGCACCGCCCCAACCGCAACAGCCAGCACGACAAAAGATAGTCTGGTCTCCAGACGTCCGTGACTATGTCAACCGCTCCTTTGCCAAAGCCGCAGAAATACGGGATGTCTCGAAAGAGCAGATTGAAACAAAACTAAAGGAAATCATCACTGATGCAACTCAGAGTGGCAAGTTGGATACTATCAACTGGAAAGAGCTGCCACTACCGCAACAAATGATTCGGGATGAACGCAGTCGTGCTCTTCTTGCCCCCATATCCCCTCCGTCTTATGTTCCTCCTGTACCTGTTCAAACCGCTTCCACCACTCCTTACCACCCTCAACCGGATGTTCCACGTAAGCGCAAGTCCACGGAACTTTCAGCGGATGGTGAAATTTCTACATCACAACCACCTTGGAGGACGAATGGACGAACTCCCGGATCTCTGGCTGACCGTGTTTCCTTCAACCCATCTGAAAAGCGCCCTAAACTCGACATGAATAAATCCGTAAGTAAAACCCAGGCAAGCCTGGATTCTCGCAGGCGGCGATTCGAGGAGACACGCGCGGGATCGGGTTCACCACGCACACAAGAGTCATCACGGGTTGCTTCACCGGAGCCGAGGATGACTGGACCAATTGTCGGCCGGTCGCAAAAACTCGAGAAGAACTACTTCAGATTGACATCAGCCCCCAATCCTGATGATGTCCGACCTCTGGAAGTCCTCCGCAAAACTTTGGAACTACTCAAGAAGAAATGGCGCACTGAGGGCAACTACGTCTACATTTGTGATCAATTCAAATCGCTGCGGCAAGACTTGACCGTCCAACATATCAAAAACGAGTTCACCACCAGCGTCTATGAGTATCATGCTCGCATTGCTTTGGAGAAGGGTGACCTGGGTGAGTATAACCAGTGCCAAACACAGCTACGAGCGCTGTACAAACAGAACCTCGGCGGTCACCCTGTGGAGTTCAAGGCATATCGTATCCTCTATTTTATCCACACGTGCAACCAAACTGACATGAATGACGTGCTCTCTGATCTAACCCCAGCAGACAAGAAGGAGCCAGCAATCAAGCATGCGCTGGAGGTTCGCTCGGCTCTCGCTCTTGGAAATTACCACAAATTCTTCAAATTGTATCTCACCGTGCCCGACATGGGGGCATATTTGATGGATATGTTCGTAGAACGTGAGAGGCTAGCGGCATTAGCGTGTTTGTGCAAAGCGTAAGTCCCCCAATTTCTCTAGCAACATGACTTTGGTCGCTGAAATGTTTGCAGGTACAAACCGGACGTGCGATTGCGCTTCGTTACTGAGGAACTCGGATTTGAGTCGGACGAAGAGGCCTGCCAATTCATCCTCGACCATGTCCCAGACGATTCCTCGAATCTACTTGAAGAACGCGATAGTGATGTCCGCTTTTTAACTGCGAAGGCGGGGAATATCTTTCAGATGGCAAAGATTAGAGCTTTTGGCCAGGTCGACATCAAGGGTCAAATATGAGATACCCATTCAGTTGGTCTCTACGAGGTCCTGGAGACGTTGATATATCTGGTCTTTGACCGCAATCGTTGATGCGACTGTCGGCTTGACATGCACCGTGTTTTCAGCACCTGAAATTCGATTGCTGTTGGGTCGCTTACATGCCATCTCTGCAGGCATGGAGGCTGTTGCGATTCTTTCTCTTTGGTCACCTGTGCCGCAACTTTAGCATTGTGCTTTTGGGGTCAACAAATGGCCAGAGGCAGAGTTATTGAGAACTCGAACGTTGCGGGCCGGTTCACTGTTACAGTTATTTTATCCCATAGCCGTCATCGACGGTGAACAGCGTGGGAGATGCTTCGAGGCTCCTCGAAGGATGCGTATGAAGACCTCCGTAGAGGCTTACAAGGACAAAGGGTCTTCTCTGAGATTTACATTTCTGGAAGTAGTACAAAAGCTGGAAATGGATGTGATTGTTCGACAATTGGTGTAGGATCTGTCATGCAGTCTTTGTTAAACCTTGTCGTTTCAAAGACCTGAGACCTGCGTCGGGGAGGGCGGGAGGCTTGATGTGCAGACCGGGATGAGCGAGCTGAAGAAGGGTATAGGAGAGATGAGGTATTACTCTGATCCACCCAGCTGTGAGGACGAGTACTCGTAGTGGAGTGGAAGGGCTGATGGTTTCGAGTATACATGGCTTTCCTGCAGGGCAATGATTAATGGTTGGAAGGTTCCCGTCTGCCATCAACATGCCGCTAGATCTAGCTGCACAAAGCACAAAGGGTCGACACGCGAAATGACTGGACGTCGTTGACCTTGTTGAGGACGGACGGCCGGTCAAACGGTAGCGGTTGGGGGCCTTCTTTGTTCTCGAATCTTTTGGTTGTGGATGCTTTGGGAATGGTTTGATGGTTCAAGGGCCAAATGACTGAATAATAGTGGCTGCCATGCGCCTGCGCCCCCCTGTGCCCATGTCATCCCCCCCATGCCTGCGCCTGCGCCCGTGCCCGTGCCCCTACCCCTACCGAGTACCCATGCCTATGCCCACGTTGCGGGTTGCGTCGACTACGGTACGGGTAGTTAGCTAATTAACGCTTGGAACTCAAGTTCTTTACATTTACATACATACCAAGAGTACCTCGCATACGGACCAGACGCACCAACCTACCCAGTACAGGTACCTCGGAGGTCCGCATGTCCTTCAAATCAGACCGTCACATGCCTACCTGTTCTCAGTGAGAGGAGTGGGAGCAAGTCCCAAAGTGAATCATCAATATTCCCAATCTCTGGCCTTCCGTGACTGACATTTGATGGGCAAAATTTGACTCCCTTTGCAATCTTGAATCCGTGGGGGCCATTGCGGGCTTGAGCCGGAACACCAGGAGGAATCCCTGCTAAACACGCTAGAGGAAACGCACCAGATCTTTTCTCCTTGCCTGAACCTCGTGTGCCGCTGCGCCTGTCCGAACAATCAACGACCTTTCCCCAGCCTGTCAAAACTCCTCCAAAGTTGAAACACATTCTGCCTCATCTTTGCTCCGAACAGTTCAACACCGTCCTAAACCAGTACGAGCCGTTGAAAGCCTCGTTCCACCTTGCCACTTCACATGCAGTCGACCTAGAACCAACAACAACCCCCATTCTCCTAGGAATTTCTATCCAGCCAAGGACGACTGCGGGGCACACGTCAAATGCGACAATGAAGGTATGTGACCGCCCATCATTCACAATGCTGCCCTTGCAAGATCGCAGGCGCTCATGTATCTCTCTCCTTTAGGCTATCCGCCGATCTCTCAAGAGTGACAAGGACACGAGGCAGCCACCAAGTCTCACCATCACCCCCAAGACGATCCAGGCGCTTCCCCCCAAGAAAGTGATAAAAGCCTTATACGACTACGAGCCCAAAAATGGCAATGCGCAAGAGTTGTCCTTCCACAAGGGCGACTTCTTTCACGTCCTGAGCCGCGAGGACGACACAGAGTGGTACGAGGCCTGCAACCCGCTCATCCCCTCGGCGAGAGGGCTCGTGCCGGTGGCCTACTTTGAAGTCGTCGGTAAGAAGCAGCGACAAAGTGAAAACTCTCTTTCATCCCCAGGGGAGAAGATGGATGGTCACGACTCGGGATTTTCAGAGAAAGGCTCGACCAACTCCGGCCACACAAGATCCGAATCAACAGCCACTACAAGACCGAGTCCAGGAGCACACCAGCGAGGGCCGAGTATGACCGGAAGAAGCGCGGGCGCCATGGTCTATGGTGTGGTGCAATACGATTTTCATGCGGAAAGGGCAGATGAGCTGGACGCCAAAGCCGGCGAAGCAATCATTGTCGTGGCGCAGTCCAATCCGGAATGGTTCGTTGCGAAGCCGATAGGACGGTTGGGAGGGCCAGGATTGATTCCGGTTTCGTTTGTCGATATTAAGGATACAGCGACAATGCAATCGGTGGCCGACCCCCTCGAGGCTGTCCGGAAAGCAGGCGTCCCTCGAGTTGAAGAGTGGAAAAAGTTTGCAGCGGAATACAAAAACAGCAGTATCAGCCTGGGCAAATTTGACAACCCCCAGGCTCAAATGTCATCCGAGATGGCTCGCATGAGCATTCAAAATACCTCCTCGCAGCAATCACTCCCCAACACAAACTATGTAAGTGGAAGGTCTTGTTGTCCCAATCTAAGAGGTGAGGTTAACCCGGTATCAAATAGAACGGTGCGAGAATGTCGCAGCAGTCGAATATCCCTCTTGCGCCGATCAGCGCTTCAGTGCCCCGTTATTGTTTCGACAACGACATGTACTGGTATATCATTGAATGTCAAATGGAAGACGGTCGATGGTGGGAGCTATCACGATACTACGCTGATTTCTACGACTTTCAGATTGCTTTATTGGAGATGTTCCCCGAAGAAGCCGGCAATAAGGGCAAGCCTCGTACCCTCCCGTTTATGCC